GTCTGGCCCTCTGGGTTGGGTCCAAAAAGAAAGCTTCAAAAAGTGACTTTTGGAGACCTTCAGACCTTCACACCTTCACAAATCAGCAAGGTGTCGTGGCCTGCTCGGGGTCTCGAAGCCACCCGTGTGGGCGTGGCACATCTTTCCATGCGCGGCGCCTGGCGAAGATAGCACAAATTCCAGGAACATGGAAGGAATAGCTTCGTAAGCCACGTTTGGACAGCCACGAATTTGGGAACTCCAGGGATCATCGGGAAATGGTTCAAAATCAGGTTTCACCAACTGATGGAGCTGATGTGGCTCATGTGCGTAAGGTTGATCCAACACAGAAAGCAGGGCACATCGTGGAGTGGATGGACTTGCGAAATAAAATCATGCCCTCATGGTGAGTGTGTGAGTGTGGTGCACAGCATGATATTCTTGTCTTTGCTTCTATTACTAGACAACAAAGTACTCACCACATGGAGCTCAGTTGCAATGTGCAACCCAGACTTGTAGGTTCCGATTCCACTGGCCACCTCTGCCATGTAGGGGGAGACCAAAATGAACCGCGAACTCACCTGGAAAAAGTTCAGACTGCGAAGAATCAAAGCTTCAATGACTCTACCAGTAGGATCAATCCACAGGATCCTTTCCAAAAAACCCAACTTATCCCGCTCCTTGCTGACTCTTCACTGCAGGTCTTGTCCCTGCTTTTACTTCAGGAATACTCAAGGCACCGTCAGGACATGTCCCGATAGTCAAGATGTTCATTCGAAAGGTCTCAGTCTCATGCACATAGCATGAAAGCAATGGGTGTGTCCAATATTGGAGGCACTCCCCACCAGACTAGCAATCCCCAGTCCTAAACCTTAAAAATGGGACTGGACAGAAAGTTCTTGACCCCCAAATTCAATGCTTCACATAGTATGAAAAGGCAACCAAAACAGAAATGTACAGAAATGTCCATTGGTGGTACCCCAAAATTTGAGCCGTACACGATCATGTTTCATGGTGGATGGCAGCCAGGGCCCAAGACATGTTGAGGCATCGCAGCCTGCCAGGACCTTGGTGCCAGCGGTGAGGACCATGATGCCGCCGCCAGGAGGTGATGGATCATGGGTCCAAAAAATTCGGGGTGTCCACCAAGCAACCCAGAGGTCCCAATCCAAGACTTGATCAGATGAGGAATTTGGAGGCTTCGATTTTTGGGACCCACATACCTACGGGACTGGTATTGGGCTCTGGCAAAAACTGGGAGAATCTCAGCAACTTTTCGGTCGAAGAGAAGTACCATGTTGGTCACTTGCAATTCAAGATCTTGCAGTTTTCTATGGGAATAGTTCAAACATGTTGAACCTAAAGTTGTATGTTGAATAGTTAAAACGACCCTGGGACTCCAGGCGTTTGTGCCACATGTGCAGCCCTCGGGGGGCGGCTCCCATGGCGCTGTGGCATGCCATGTCCTGAGCTAAAAAAAACACATAGGGCCGGGCATACCTGGCATTAGAGGAATGCCCATCCCTTCGATCGACATACCCCAAGCCACTGGTTATTCAACAACAAGGCTTTCCATCTTGAATTGACCGGGCATTTGAGGCTCTGTGAAAATGGTTTTGTTTGTTTTTTTTGCTGTGGAAACTGCAATTTTGGATTTTGGATTCAAGGGAGAATGGCTCAAAAACTTAGACATCCCATCATCTGTGGGTCAAAAATGGCTGCAAAGAAGCGATCAAATCTACGGGCTCAGGGGTTTGGTGCTGCCGATTGGGTTGGGACCCAGCAGAACACCTACCTACATAAATTACATATTACATTGTATTACATTGTATACATTACATGACATTGCAGTACAGTACATTATATTACATACAGTACATACAGTACATACAACACATATAGGACATAGAGTACATTAAACTACTTGCATTGGAAACATACATGACATTACAATATATTACATTGCATTACAGTACTGTACATTACAATGCAGAACAATACAGTCCAGTACATCAAAATACAATTTATTACACTACATTCACTACCTTACATTGAATTACATGCAGTACATACAATACATACAATACATACATTATATACATTACAAACCTTACATATATTACATCACATCACAAGACATTACATTGCAGTGCATTGCTCTATATTTACAGTACACTACATTACAGCACACTACATTACATGACATTACATGCATTACACAAAGTACATACATTGCATACATTGAATACATGCGTATATTACATTGCATGACATTACCTGTACATTACATGTACATTACATAAACTACAATACATTACAAGACAAGACGAGACCAGACAAGACAAGACAAGACATACATACATAGATACACAGGTTCATAGGTACATCGATAGAATGATTGATTGATAGATAGATAGATAGGTAGGTAGGTAGATGGATGGATGGAATGGATAGGAATGGATAGGAATGGATAGGATAGGATAGGATAGGATAGACAGATAGATAGGTAGATAGATAGATAGGTAGGTAGATAGGTAGATAGATAGATAGATAGGTAGATAAATAGATAGATACCCAAATACCCTACATACCACATACCCACATACCTACGTACCTACATACCTACATCCCTACATACCTACATTCCTACATACCTATATACCTGCAGACCTATATCCCTACATGCATGCATTCATGCATACATGCAAAAAATATACATGAATACTATAGCATTGATCAGTTTCCTGATACCCCTCGCACCACAACCAAGATTGCCACGGCTCGCCCGCCAGTTTCCTTTGGGAAAATCGCGGCTCCTATGAGCTGAGCTGGAGCTGGAACTGGGCTGTTGCAGCGTGTCCTGGCGCCATTTGGTCTATACTATACACCATTCATGGACAAGCCCGCATCTCCAATCCTGCAATCTGGAAGTCAACTCTGCTAAGTTTGAAAAGTTTTAAATCATTGTGCCCGGGGGCATCCTGATTTGGATTGACTAACTGATTGTGATTGTGGTTGCGATTGCGATTGTGATTCTTGTTCTTGTTCTTGTTCTTGTTATTGTTGATGATTATCATTATTATTATTACTATTATTATTAATATTACTATTATGGTTTGAAAGTTTGACTGTCGTTTGACGGTTTTGTCCTTCTCTATCCTGACTGAGTTGTATCTCCCACGCTTTCACCAATTCCACATGTTCCATTGTTCTCCGGATTTACTTGAAGTTCTTGTCGCAAAAATCTAGTAAAATCCCATAATAACTTCCAGAATTGTTCCAGATTGCTTTTCCACAAGGCTTCAATAAGTATTAGAAAAACTCCTGTCATCTTCCAGTTTTCTTTAGATTCTTCTGTTTCCATTTTGAGAAATCTAGATTGTTTCACTTCTCTCCGGATTTCTCCACTTGAGCAATCAAAACCACCCCTATCCCATCTCATTCAATTGGTTCCCAGCTAGTCGAAGCTAGATGATCGTCAACCAACCATCGTGTATCAACTATATCAACAATATCCCCATGTCTCTGATGGAAAAAGAATCCCCTTTAAATCCCCTTTAAATCCCATTACAGTCCCATTCAAATAGACTTTAGCAGCCAATGCTTTGTTGTTTCGAAAAATCCCATCCCAAAACGCCGCTCCTGGAGTCTGGCGAGTGGACGGGGTTCAACACCCGAGGGCTACCTGGGGTACCTGTCGATTGTTGGATTTTTGACTTTGTATAGTGTAGTAAAATCTGCATGTGTATATTATGTGTCCACATATACACAGTGGTTCAAATCCATTTTCTATGTATGCCATTATGGTTGTACAAGAAAAGAGCAATCAGGCATAGTTGAAGCAAGAAAAATGACAATTGAAGCAACAACAATGGTAACAGTGGATGTACAAACCATGCAAAAATGTGATTTAACTTACAGTAACCGATCTTAAGCAACAAAAGGGGATCTAAGCAGGTATAGTGGCGATTGAATCGTTGATCACGAGGATCTAAACAATAAACACATCGAGATAAAATCTCAATAAAAATAGAATCCAATATGCTGGGGCCTGGGGCTTGCTCAAAATTGCGCCACAGGTCGAAATTCATAGGGGAATACTGCAAATGAATTCGGATCCTGAAATTAGACGCATTTCCGATGCAATGTTGGGAGGTGTTGGATTGGATCCCAGCCTATGTTGAGCCGCGGAAAGGTAGTCTTCGAGGGTGGCCAAATGATACGCAGTGGGCAAACACAACCAACAACATTGGGGTATAGCCTACATGGCCGTATAGCCTACATGGCCGTATAGCCTAGCCTGTTTGGTGGTATCATGGGTAATCAGAAATCAAGCCGAAGCCCAGCCGGGATCCCGGCTGCCAAATCTACCGTTGGGCACCGTGACACTGCACCGGCACAGAAGTCACCACTCGTGTTCCAGCACCTTGCAAACTCTTGAGTCATTTCAATTGGGTATGGTATGGGTCTCAATAGGGGGACCAACAGACCCACAAACTTGCTACTCAGACATTCATTCATTTTGAAGGTCAATTAATTTTGACTTACACCCAACTCATCCCAAATCAAGCAACTTTGGAAGTTGTCCAAACTTCACTTGGTCAGTCACAAAGCTGCAACAAGCACCTACTGAGCCAGATCGCACTGTCACAATCGGAGACCTTGAAGGCCAGCACATGCGGCACTGCTGGGCCACAAAAAGTCTCTCAGTCTCAGAACTTCAGAACTGGATCAAGCGGAAAATCGACAGAACTTCACCCGATATTTCGCTTTTAAAGACCTATGGTTTCCCGCGAACTTTCCAGCCAACCAGTGACTCACGGCTGAAACGGAGCCAAGAGGAGGACGGCGCGCGAATGGTGGGAACGCTTGCAGTGTTGGGCACAGGCACCGTCGGCACCATGAAGCATCCAGCCGAAGCTGTGCCAGGCACCTAGCGCTTCGACAAGGCAATTCATCTGAATAAACTACAATAATAATATTAATTCATTACCTTAAATTGAGGCAATTTCGGATAGTTACCCCTCCTAATGATTCATGATCTATCAAGATTTGTGAAGGAAATTCTAGGGAGGAAGCAGAGTGAACTCAGAAGCAGGAAGGATTCTCATCTGAAAGAAGAGCCAAAACATGCCAAAACCAGTTCACGGGAACCTGTGCAGCACGCACCTTGTAGATCCTCCCTCTGAAGGTGGCGGGTGTCGATGAAATACGCTGGAAGGCAGGAGATGGACTTGCCTAAGTTTTTGCGCGGCGTCGATATCTACGAAGTAGAAACATGTAGAAACAACAGGAACTGCATGGAATTGCCATAGCGACTACTTCACGAGTTGTGTTCGCACTCACGGTGGTGATTAGTGCCAGACGTTGCGCACGCACCAATTCCTGCAATAGCAGTAAGAGCTTGCCGAAGCTTCAAATGGCTCAAGCGAGAGGGAAGTTCTTCACAATTCACAATGCGCAAATTCACAACAACCAAAACATTCAAACAAAGCCATGGAGATCATCACTGCCATCCGCGTAGCCAAAAAAGCAGAAACCACAACAAACATGGCAGATTCACGGTTGAACCTCAAGAAACTTCACTTCTTGAAGCAACTGCACCAACAAACTGAACGCAAACGCAAACTATGTAAATCGTTCTTGACATGTCAAAGCTGGCGGTTTCTGCCTCTGCCTCTTTTGAACCTCACTAAGGCTACTACGGAAGTTGTTATCGGATGCTGCGGCACCCTGGGAGTGTACACTGGGGTCTGCTCACCTCACGTGGAGGCGAGTGCCATTTCGACCCTGGATTGGTCCATCCATTTTTTGCAGTCGAATCGCCATATATCAAACATCGGTTGCGCCAGATTTATGTACTGTAGCACAATATCATACAATACAATTCACTACACTACAATACACTACAATGCACTACAATACATTACAAGACACTACAATACACTACAATACATTACAACAGACTACACTACAATAGAATCCAATATAATATATATATATATTGTAATCATATTACATGTATATATATATACGTATGTATATACCTTACCTACATTTATCCTCCATGTTGCCCCCTACCCTGTGTCATCCTTTTCTCCTGGCACCCCTTGAGACCCCCACGGCCAGCTCCACAGCAAGGAGCCGAGTCTGGGACCCGAGAGGCTGGTTCCCAAATCTGTTCAAAATCCAATAGCAACTTTTTAAAAATAGAAAAAGTGTGTCATGAATATGTTCATAGAATTGGATGATGGGAAAATTTACAGGAAAGCCCTATATTTGATGGTAAAAACCATGGTTTCCTGTAGATTTTCCCTTAAACCAGTCCATTGATATGTTGGGTTTGGATTTGCTTTGCTAACTTTTTGATTCTTTTTGGGGGTCACTACAGTCACTACAGTTGGTCAGTCAGCCAGCCAGCCAGTCAGTCAGTTGGATAGTTAGTCTAAGTTAGATACAAAGCTAGGTAGATAGGTAGATAGACATATCAAATCCATAGTATCTGAAGCAATCGCCTCAATACATGTTGCATGCAACTTGATGAACACCACCATGTTTACACTGCTACCCCCTGTTGTCGCACTTCACCACCGAGGCATTCCCGTTCTGTGCTCCCTCACGTTGCGGTACCAGCTCCACTCGACCCTCGCCCAGAAAGATGGCACCAGTGCCAGGCTGTTTGGGAGGCGCTTGCACCTCCTTTGGGCCACAGGAATCTGCTTGGCAGCAGCTGGAAACTCTGGTGCTTTGCCTGACCGCCTGGGTATTGACAGCTGCAAAAAACAATGCAGAGGTTGCTCCTGAATCTGAAGGCCCGCCAAGTGGGCATTCAAATCTTCCAGCCCTGTTCGGGAGGCATGTGAGCAGATGCATTGCTTCAAAGCGCATGCCCCAAATGTCAGCCAACTGGGTTGCCTCAGCATGAAGATTCTGTGGGAGTCAACAAAACTAGTTATAGCGTGAAAATCCTGTAGCCCTCTGCACATGGTATCTGCCTTTCATTTTGCGGGCGATTTCTGAATCAATCAACCTGGCAGGGTGCAGTGCACAGTGGAATGATTCCCGAACCTAGCCAAATGGTTAGTAAGTGGTTTGTCTCACTCATGATGGCATATGCCCAAGTGTATGCCAAAAATTCTTCCCATTTTACAACGCCGGGGATCCTGCCAAATGTTACCATCTGATCTCTAGAGAAACATGGCAGCAGCACCGAAGATGCTCAGATAAGCGCTGACCGGCCGAAGCCTTGTCCCAGCCTGGCTATGGATGCCATGGGCCATGCTGCACCCAACCATTTGCCCATTGGGAGGATCACATTAAGACCATGGCATGGCAGGAGCCTGCAGGCAACGAAGTTGGAGCCTGTCCATCTGAACCTTGGATGCCGGTGCTTTATAGAGAACTGCCATCACAGACTGCATAAAACATCGACATACGGCGACTCTTCCATGTATCTGCGAGTAGCCCTTGATCTGCACTCAGTTGCAATAACTTGTCACAGTGTCCAGATGAGGGTTCCACCATCCAGCCAGATGAGCAGTTCTTTCAGCGCCTCGTGCTGAAGAAGCGACTTTTTCAGCGGCCTGGGGGTTCCCTGGGCTCCCTGAGCTGCCTTGTCATCATGATCCGGGATAGTAACGTCCTGGGTCAGCGAGCAACTAAACTAAAGTAACTAAAGCATTGTGTCAGGCCAGAAGGGCCTGTGATGGTGCAAAAGAAGCTTTGTCAAAGTGCTCCCAAATCAAACAAAGACATCACAGGAGCAACCGTATCAGCTACTGGCGAGCGGCAATAAACCCATTCTCATCACTCGCAGCCTGCGTGGGCCTCGGTGGGTCTTATGACTCGGGTATGACTCCAACCCTCCAGAAAACACCCACCGGGACATTTGCCATTCCTTGAGCTGAGCTTTCGACGACATAGGCGCGTGAATTTTGTGGCCGGACCCGGTCCCAGCAGCTGAAGGAAAGGGCAGAGCTATGGAAAGTTGACAGTAACCCCTGTGCAAAAGGAAAGTCTCCCTAAATGTAAATGTAGGTAGAACAAAAATCCAAATGTCATTCGCTGTCTCACAAGTTGACAAGTTTCTTGGTGTGTTTCAAACACGCCAATTCCGACATCATCACAACACCATCTGTCATCGAAATCCCAGATGCAAGTCGTGTCTAAGTCCCAACTCTTCATATTCAACACATCACCTATCGGACCTATCGATTCTGCACGCCTGAAACGCCAGCTGTGTTTTTCTCGAAAACGCTAGCCGTATTGGCCGTAGAATGCATGGGGATGACAAAAAGTCAATCGAAAAGAGGGTGCCAGAGCTCGGCACAGAGGATATTTTTCAAAGCATGCTGGTAACAGCATGCACAGTATGCACAGTTGAAGCTGCCAAGCTCCTGTTGATGTTGCTATGACAAAGTTCAAAGTACCTTTTGAGTCCAACGAAAATGTTTGTTGCACCATGTAATTTCAATTTCTCGGCTCAAAGATGGTCCGCTGGGTAAGTGTTTGATATGTCTTGGGCCATGGAACATCTTGAAAGTCCGGGCTGAAAACTGAATCCTACATCTCATTCGTCTAGCCCTCCTCCGGTCACCTAGGTATTCGGAGGCAAGATGTGAGGCAGAAACAGATTTGGAGCTGAGGCACTGAAACGCCACCATCTCAAGGTTTAAGTTTAAAGGTCCACTTGGGTACCGTGAAATGGGATGATTTGCGATCCAATATGGATGGCAAATCCGCTAATCCGCTACGGTTTTCAGGAACTCAAAGCTCGACCCATATCCAAATTGAGGGCAGGACAAGGTAATAGACACCAGCCACGAATGGCAGAGCCAAGAAGAAAAAACCAAGCACCACCAGAGGGCTCCTCAACTTCTCCTCTGCTGGCAGGTCATCAAAGTCACTCCTGAGCTGCAGAACCAGCATTGGCTATGGCGACATCCAGTATTAGATCTTGGGTATGTCAAAAAAAACGATCAAACCTAAGATCTAATACTGTAATATGGTTGACGTCTAAACCTCACCAAAACCTTTGGCTTCTATTTTCACCAGACCGACACACTCATATTATCCACTGAAGATCTTCAAATTCCCCATTCGGAGTCCCAGGGCCCCGACTTCCAGAAATTCATATCTTTTTCATCTTCCGGAGTCCTGGCGCATGTTCATTGGTCAATCATCATATTCCCAATATATTCCCAACATCACATGGTTTTTAAACTGGGGCTATACTGTAGGGATCATCAGATGTTACCATCCATATTCATGGGGTAATACCACATGTTATCTCATCATCCATATTCATTACCACATCTTCAGACAACATGTCCAGAGAAGCGTGCCAACGGTGCCGCGGCATCTCATAGGGATCATCAGGACTCAACTGAGGCTCTAGATCTCGTGGCGGTGGCACCTTGTCCTGGCCGTGTTTATCGACTTTTTATGGTCATTCAATGGGAAAAATGAAGGGAAAAATGATGATGAACCGCCAGAAATTTGGGGGTGCCCTGTTGTTTTGGACAAACCTACTGTTCTCATGGGTAAAGAAGCTGTAAGAGCAGGGGACAGGCACCGCGGCAGCTCGTCGCGTCAATGTACTTCTTGGAGAGGTGAATAGCCAGTCGCCTTGTCAACCAGACTTTGAGACATCCAAGTCTTTTGGGTGCTTTTGGTGATAAATATAGATGTCACCAGGGTAATTGACTAACTATAACTCAAAATCATCCTTGAAACCTTGACAGTTCAGGGCCCTGCCTGCAAGGTTGCAAACTACCAGAGTCAGCAGTGCAATCAAAGTGACACCTTGCACTCCGCAAATGCCGAAATGCTGATCCAAATCCATTTCACAGTGACATTTCTTTGTCCCAAAAAATAGATGATGCCCAAATTTCTGGCCATGTTCATGGTCGAAAAAACATGCCAAAAAATCCTGTACCAAAATGGACGCCCCAATCGAAAACTTCCCATCTTTCCCATCGCCTGCTGATCGGCGTCTTTGCAGCATGGCCTGGACGTTACACCCAAAATAGTGAGAAATTCCTATGAAAATTAGTACCCCCGATATGAATAGACTGTAGTTTAGGAATCGTGGGTTTCTGATGGGATCATAAATTGGCTATAGCTATGTATCCATAAATGACTGGCCCATCATTATCTACTAAATGGGCCCTGAAATTGGACAGTTTTGGCTTCCTCAGATCTTTTGAAAGAGCCCCATACATTGCGTGCTATCTTTTTGGAACTTCGGGCTTCTGCATAGTGATTGCCAGTTGCCATGTGACCAGTAGATCCACATTGTGAAGACAAACGTTTGCACTCAAATCAACCTCAGAGAAAACTCTTGACCCCTTGCCCATTTCAATTATATCGCTTACCCTCTTGGTCATTTTTCCAGCCCGTCTACACATGGCCATGATGTGAAGTTCAAAGCCTCGTTCTCTGACCGCAGCTGCTTTCACGGCTGGCTGGTTTTGGGCCCAAAGAGGCTAATTATGTAGATTCCATGCGTCTCGCTGGCTGCTCGGCGGTTTCGACCCGTCCCCAAAATATGGCACGTCAAATTCGGGATAATCATCCTAAGTAAAGATCTGAAACTGCCAAGCAGCTCGCAGTTCTCTCCGTTGCAAGAAAAGTCGCGATAGCCGAGACGTTTCGTGCAGCAAGCATGACTCACCAGTCTGAAAACCAAAAGCTTCTATTCCGTGACAGAAGCTCTAATTGTCTCATTCGGAAGTCATTCTATGCATGGTGTTGATCCGATAAGCAATCAACCACAAGGTGTTTGTCTCTGATATATCGTCCAGTGCCATGAATTGCTGGAAGGGATCAGAAGGGCACACTTTTCCTTCAACCAATGAGCTCAAATCACTGAGTTTCTGTGGTGCCAATCTGCAAGAAAGACCTGGGTCCGTGGTCAAATTCAACTCTCAATCTATTCACCTGGAACCACCTAGAAGCCACATGACCTCGGTGTTGGATAGTTCAAGCCCCATTTTATGGCTAACCTGTCAAGCTATTCGGCTATTTGGCTCCCATGACCTTGACAGGTACATTTGAGAAACACGGGAAGTTGATGAACTGTCGCAGTTAGGCGACACGAAGCATCCAAGATCATCCAAGGCAACAACCGAACTTCCTGTGGCAAAAAGCTGAAGAACCTGCAGAACTTTGTGCAGGCGCCCAAGTATTGCCAAACAGTGCTTTGAAGAACCCATTGCCGCATGAGTATGATGAGTATGCATAGAACTGCAGATCTATGATTCAGTCTGGTTGAAAAAAAATCACTCTGAGACACCCTAAAAGACATTTGTCGACATGCAATCTTTGTCGTCTTTTTGGCGGACCGAGGCCAAGTGGAAATCCATATGGATCAATCCTCGGGATCCCAGCTCTGGTGGCAATAGCTTGATCCCAGCATAGATCAGTCCCAGCTCCAGGACGGCAATCACAATCTGCGCAGTGACAGCAGTGACAGCAGTGACAGCACAAAACAAGTAGACTAGGTAGGAAGGAAGTTGAGAATCACGTGGCAAGGTTGTGACTCTTGGCCTGCTCTGCTTACAGATCTACCGTTCACTCCTACGCTGCTCCACTGTGGCTCCTACCTCTCTGTCTCTCTGACATGGGACAAAGTCAAGGCAACGTACCAGAAAAGCAGCCAACCAGTGGTTCCTATCACAGATCCTTCATTAAAAGGCACCTCCACAACGGGAAGGAGCCAAAGCGGGAGGCCAAGGGCAGAGATGATCTTACCAAAATCGCCCTGCCATCGGTTCGCTATGCCCCGGAGTGGCAGCAACTTCTGTTGAAGGCAAGGCTGGAGCTCTGCATCCCCTTGACAGCCCCTTGTCCAGCCACTTCCCAAGTCAGCCGCGCCTCATCTACTGCTGCCTTCAAAGCAGCCACACCTCAAGCTTTTCACCATGCCCATACGCGACATCAATCCGCTTGTGCTTGGAGGGTTTCCCAGCACAATGGGCTATTCGCACTGATTTATCCACCAAAAATGTGATCTAATGCAATTACGATCTAATTATATATAATACATAATATAAAAATAAAATCAACTATCGATAGTTTGATATTTAGAGGAAATCAGCAGGGTGACCAATGACCAAGGTCTTTTACCAACAATTTTTCTGTAAATGTTCCCATCATGCAATTCTGGGATCCTTTAATTGTTATACTGGTCGCTTGCGAACGTGATTCCCATTCTGGGTGATAAATTCCGGGAATTCACTGAATCATGAAAAGAGGAGGGAGTAAATTAGGGATTTAACCAATAATAATGGAGTTGTCTGAACCTGGGATCCCCAGAAATCCCTTTAGGCTTTACCATCATTCTTTCCCATCCAAATCAAGAAGAAAAGGATTTAAGTAAGGGTCCGGAATTGTTTTGGGAATCATATAGTTTTTTCCGTTTGGTTTTATCTGCTTTTTCTGCCCGCTTTCCTTGCTATTTGCAGTATTTTGGATCTGGAAGCTGCCATAACTGTTCTGATTCTCTGCTTTTTGCTTTTGCTTTTCTGTTTTTGTGTTTTTTCCTGCTTTTTCTGCTTCTTGGCTTCTCGAACCTAAACCAACTCTAAAACCAACCCGAACTAAAATGAACTCAGTCGCAAAATACAATGCAACATGAAAAGTGTGAGCACCAAAATGTTGCATATACAATGGAAAAGTTCGAACTCCAAAATGAGAAGCGAAGAAGCAGAGAAGCAGAAAAGTGAAGAAGAAGAGAAGCGAAGAAGCAAAGAAGCAGAAAAGTGGAGAAGCAGAGCAGCAGAGAAGCAAAGAAACATCAAAGCAAAGAAGCGGGGAAAAGCAGAAAAGCACAAATCAAATAAGCAGAAAAGCAAAGAAGCAGGGAAACAGAAATCAAAAAAAGTGCCCAAAACGGAAAAACTGATAATTTCAAAAAATTCCCCAAAAAATGGCCCTCCTTTAAGTAACAGCACTTGGGATTCGATCGCCTCAAAAATGATGGCATACTGCTAATAGCTTGGAAATGCCACTTTGGAAGCTAAAATAGAAAGATCATCGACATTTGAAAAATTCCAGCACGCCGGGCTACATCACTAGAGGCTAAAATCAGAACTGCATCGAGCTCGGCTTTGAGGGGTAAGCCACCTGGTGCCCATATAGAATGTAGAACTGGGGTCATGCTGCGACCACCCGCATTTTTTCACATCTGAACTTTGGTTTGCAGCGAACTGCATTGGCACTGACACTGAATTAATTATATAATGCTTCAGTGACGGCCATTTGCTGCAAGGGTCCAGACCCCTTGAAAAATTGAAACAACATCCACAAATCCACACTCCAGAAACCAGTCCGGGTCAACCAACTCCGCCTAACATAGCCCGCAATATCTTAATAAGCAAGTCATATATGAGGTTTTTGCACTCCTTGCGCTTCTTGGATTTTTCTAGACCCTTCTTCCTGGGGGGCATATGTATGTGCCCGGGGGTTGTTGACTCTGCTTGGACATCAGAGGGCTGTTGCGACTGACATGCCATGGTTTTCACAAAAACAAACCTGGGAGCTGAATAGAATTGGACAGAATTGGTATACCGTGTGCTTCCAAAAATTAGGCCCTGGAATTTCGACAAGAAGGATGAATTTCGGACTGGCCAAATAAGGGAAAGGGTTGGAGCCACTTGATTTAGAGACACTGGCAAGCCAAGAGAACCATGTTTGCTGAGCCTGGGAATTGTGGATGGCTGACTCCGTCTGACTGTGGACAAACAATGGTGCACCAGTGCACCAGTGAGTAGAATTAAACGGAGGACTTTCACAACATTCTTCTAGCTGATGGTGCAACACCCACCTGCATAGTCATCTAAGGTCAATTATCGTTGTTAGGCAGATCACTTGAGAAAGTTAATTATTCCCCAAGATTCCCCAAGTATTCTGAGGTAAGTCACAAATTCATACAAATTCTGGATAGATACGAATAGATCTAATAGATACAGTACAGTTTTTTCTGCAACCACCAGCCGGTTTTCAACCTGAAACAATTGTTCCACGCAAAAACCAGAGCAACTGGGACGAGCATTGACAAAATTCACCGCCGAGGCGTGAGCAGCCGCCGAGCTGCATTTCCCATTGCTGAAAACTTGCCGACGGAGACGTTGCGCAAGCACGAAGACAGTGGAAAACCAACAAAGAAATGGCAACTAGTAACTTATCTCATAGTCATAGTTGGAATTCATGAGGATTGCAACAAGGTGCCAGGGAACTTGGCAAGTTTCCCTGGACTTCAGGATTTTCGCAGTGCCGTCCTCATGTGGGCCCTGGTCCCTTGGCACTGACAGTTGCTGCAAGGGTCCAGACCCCTTGAAAAATTGAAACAACATCCACAAATCCACACTCCAGAAACCAGTCCGGGTCAACCAACTCCGCCTAACATAGCCCGCAATATCTTAATAAGCAAGTCATATATGAGGTCTTTGCACTCCTTGTGCTTCTTAGATTTTTCTAGACCCTTATTCCTGGGGGGCATATGTATGTGCCCGGGGGTTGTTGACTCTGCTTGGACATCAGAGGGCTGTTGCAACTGACATGCAATGGTTTTCACAAAAACAAACCTGGGAGCTGAATAGAATTGGACAGAATTGGTATACCGTGTACTTCCAAAAATTAGGCCCTGGAATTTCGACAAGAAGGATGAATTTCGGAGTGGCCAAATAAGGGAAAGGGTTGGAGCCACTTGATTTAGAGACACTGGCAAGCCAAGAGTTCAAAAATTGTGATCATAGTCATGGAAACCATGCTTGCTGCCTGGGAATTGTGGATGGCTGACTCCGTCTGACTGTGGACAAACAATGGCGCACCAGTGCACCAGTGAGTAGAATTAAACGGAGGACTTTCACAACATTTTTCTAGCTGATGGTGCAACACCCACCTGCATAGTCATCTAAGGTCAATTATCGTTGTTAGGCAGATCACTTGAGAAAGTTAATTATTCCCCAAGATTCCCCAAGTATTCTGAGGTAAGTCACAAATTCTGGATAGATACTA